TATCCACATCCTTTCTTGGGAATGGGAACAAATAAGGATCTTTTCCAGTTAGTTGGTCAGGTATTTGTCTTCCAGATTTTCTGGTACTGGCAAGTGAGCATGCCCAGGTCTGCATCTGTTAGGGGAAATATGTCATTTGCTAGCCTATCAACTCTTAGAGCCTTATATTTTGCCAGTACCTTCAATGAAGCTTGGACTTCTTCCCTCATCACCGTTGGCTCCTGCTTATATGCTACTTTCTGAAATACTGTGGTGTCTGCCAGTTCTTTTTGGTACAGAGACTGTATTCCCTCCATCTTCTTTTGAAACTTCCTGGATTATTCAAGATTTTGCCCAGAGAGATCGAGAGAAATCCCTTTCGCAAGGTGGATTGACACAGTGACTGGAACAATGGGCTTGAGCATGTCAGAGCAAAGGATCAGGCAAGATTCACCTCTATTCATAGGGTTGCTACGAGTCATTGTTGGCTCAACAGCACGTGACAACAGTAGATGTACTGCTGCAAAATATTGGAAAGACTGGATTCCACACCCTCGCCCATCACAATAAGATAGTTATGTAGGGAACTTATACCTTATCTGTCCTCGCCTGGACCATGCAGCTGTAGCCAGTCCTTGCCAGGAACTCTGCAATGCACAGTGCAGTTGTGATTTACAGGAGAAACTGTTAACTTCTGATGCCAAAAGATTTTGCCTGACATTATTGCTTTTCAGTACTCTGGAGAGGTCCCTAACAGCAGATCTTCACAACGCAATTCATTTTTTCATTTCCTTACTGTTGATGCTAAGAGTGTTGATTGTGGAGCTGAGTAAGCTGTAATTGTTAACAATCTCAATCTCTTCTCCATCTATCATGATGCTGCCAGCTGGCCCAGTGTTGAGAATATTTGTCTTCTTGATGTTGAGCTTCAATCCATATTGAAGACTACAATCCTTGACCTTCTATAGCAAGCGCTTCAGGTCCTCCAGTTTCAACAAGGAAGGTTGAGTCATCTGCATAACGTAGGTTGTTGATGAGTCTTCCTACAATTTTGATGTAATGTTCCTCCTCATAAAGCCCTTCTTCCCAAATGATCTGTTCTGTATATAGATTGAATAGATATGGAGACAGGATGTGTCCCTGATACACTCCTTTCCTGATTTCAGACCATGCAGTGTTTCCCTCCTCTGTTCTGAGGACTGCTTCCTGGTCCAAGTATAGGTTTCACATAAGCACAATCAAGTGTTCTGGTATTCCCATTTTCCTCAAGGTTAACCACAGTTTGTTGTTAAATGCCTTTGCATAGTCATTGCTTAGTACATTTGCCTAGTACATTCCTTTTGTACTCTTTGCTTTCTGCCAAGATCCACCTGACATTGGTAATAATGTCTCTAGTGCCATGGCCTCTTTTTTTAAAAAAAATATTATTAATCTCAGCGAAAATTTACAGACACTTTAGATTTCCATTCATTCATTGTTGCGCTTTTCTCCCTGCCCATCCCACCCCTACCATGGCCTCTTCTAAAACCAGCTTGTATTTCTCATAGTTCTCTGTCAATATATTATTCCAGTAGTTTCTGGATAATCTTCAGCAGGATTTTGCTTGATGTAATATTAGTAATATTGTCTGACAATTTTCACACTGTTGGGTCATCTTTTTTTTGGAATGGGAATAAATATGGATCTCTTCTAGTCAGTTGGCCAGGTCCTCCAGATTTCTTGGAACAACCTGTGGTGAGGAAATCCAGAGCAGCATGTTTGTTGAAATACATCAGTTGGTATTCCATCAATTCCTGGAGCTTTATGTTTTGCCAAGTCCTTCAGAGCAGCCTAAATTTCCTCCTTCATCACCATTGCCTCTTGATCATATGTTGTTTCTTGAAATTCTTTTGTGTCAGCCAATTCTTTTTGGTACAGTGACTCTTGTATACTCTTTCTGTCTTTTAATGCTTCCTGAGTCATTAACTATCCTGCCCATAGCATCCTTAAGCATTGCAACTTGTGGCTTGAATTTGTTTTTAGTTTCTTAAGTTTAAGAAATTCTGAGTGAGTTCAGCCCTTTTGGTTTTCCAACTCCAGCTCCTTGCATGTTTCATTATAATACTTTGCCTCGTCTTCCCACGCAGCCCTTTGAAATCTTCTGTTCATCTCCTTAACTTCTTGATTTCTTCCCTTTGCTTTGGCTCTCAGCACTCTAGTGCAATATTCATAGTCTCTTCTGACTTCCATTTTGGTCTTCTTCTTCCTTTTTTATAATGACCTTTTGCATTCTTCATGAACGATATTCTTGATATCTTCCAACTGTTCATCTGGTCTTCGTTCATTAGTGTTCAAGGTTTCAAACCTTTTCATGAATTGGTTTTTAAATTCAGAGGGGATAAACTCAAGATCAAATTTTGATTCCTGTGGATATAATTTAACCTTCCTTTGTTTTAATTTGAACTTGCTTATGAGTAGTTGAAGGTCTCTTTCACAATCAGCACCTGGCCTACTTTTCACTCCTGATATTGAACTTCTCCACTGATTCCTTCCACAGATGTAATCGATCTGATTCCTGTGCATCTCATCAGGTGAAATCCATGTGTATAGCCTGTGTTTGTTCCTTATAAAAGATATTCGCTCTGAATAAATTATTGATTGTGCAGAATTTTATCATTCTATCCCCAGCCTCACTCTTGTCACCAAGTCCATATTTTCTGACTACTGATCCTTCTTCCTGTTTCCAGACTTTTGCATTCCAGGTACTCATTATTATTCATGCATCTTGGTTATATGTTCGATGGATTTATGACTGCAGTAGTTGGTAAAAATCATCTATTTTTTCCTCTTTGGCTCTGGTTGTTAGTAGTAACCATTTCACCTGTGATTCTTTAGGGCCAAACCAAATTATTTTCTGGGTAGACTTTTTGTAGCAGGATTGTTGGTGGGGGGACCTGTTATTCACACCTTATACCTTAGCTGTGGTCCTGAAACACTACCGTTCAACCTGCTTCAACTCTTCCCCATTTCTCAATGTCTCTCTAGTCCTTCTCTGCCCCTGGCCACAGTACTGTCAGAGAGCTTCAAAGGCACAATTGGAAGCAAATCTACCTTCACAGTCTGTAACCCAACAGGGGAGAAGCCAATTGAAAACCCACGAGGGCCTAATCAGACCTTTGTTGTCACACAAAGCAAATTGCATTTCAAGCTCTAGAGAACAGAGCCATTCTAAACCTGATTAAGATTCATAGGGTACCAAATTGTGATTAATGTTTATTTTGGAAAAGTGGATTGTCAATGTTTTTGAATTCTGCTTATTCATCTAGACAATTTTTGTTTTCGTGACCATTTGTAGGAGTTCGGGAAGTCAAATTGTCTAGACTTATTTGCTGGGCAAAGTTGAAAAGGAGTTTATTTTGGCTGGTCCTTGAGTAACATTTTAGAGACACAAGTTGGAGAGTCTTTTCCTAGGACTACCCCGAGGTTCAGTTACTCTGTCAACACATTCCACCACCTATCTCCACCCATCTCACTTGGAACAGTCTTTCAGGACCCAGCCTGAGGTGGGAAGCTTATGGAATAATTTAAAAGGTGCTATCAGCAGGGATGACTTTATCTTCACAAAGTTAGTGAGCTCGAGCTCACATGAAAGCTTTTGGCTCTTTGTTGTTTGTTGGTCTTGGTCTAAATTAATTTAAAATACTACATACAATAACAAGAATGACCAAAAAGAATTGACATCTTTGAGTTGTGGTGTTGGAGAAGAGTACTGAACAGCCCATGGACTGCCAAAAGAATGAACAAATAGGTCTTAGAGAAAGTGCATTCAGGGTGTTCTCTGGAGGCGAGATGGCAGAGATTCATCTCACATACTTTGGGCATGTTTAGATAGGGGCCAAGCAAAAGGTGGGGAGCCAGCATAACGGGAAGACCCTCAACAGAATGGATTGACACTGTCACTATAAAAATGGACTTAAGTACGTCTGCCATGGTGAGGATGGCAACAGATCTGTTGCTCACAAGATCATTATGAGTTGCAGTTGAATCAATAGCACATAACAACAACAAAAACACAAACATTTGGGGAAGAGAGTAGGATTATTTATCATCTTAGGTTTTTTAGTGAGAACAAACTGTATCTCGATATGTGTCTAATAGATGGCCTTTGTTTTGTAGTACTTTGTGCATGTCCCACTCACTCCTCCCTTTATTTAGCCTAAGAGAGGCTGGCCCAAAACACTGATATTTCAGCCTTATTAGAATTATGGACATCCTTATGGTTTGTGTAGCTTTAAACACCAACAAACATGCTACATGGCATTTGGGAATGGAGCTGAATGCTACCTATGATCCCTGATGTCAACTATTTTGGATATAGATCACCTTCTGGGCCATTTATTTGTTCATATAAATGCATACTTTTTTATAGAAAATAGAATCAGGTTTTGAAATTTGTGGTTTTCATGCAGAAAAAGATTCCATATAGCTAAATAGAGATCTGTCATTTGCCGTGACTGTAGCATTATTTTCTCTCTGGAGACGCCTCTCCCTCTCTGCCCCTTTGTTTTCTCCTCTCTCTTCCTCCACGGTGCCTTCTCTCCCTCCGTACATTGGCAATTTGATATCCCATTACTTCTTCAAAATCGGTAATATTTTTTTTCCCTCCAGGTCCATTTTATTATTTTTTTTCACTTTGCCTTTTGTAATATATTCTCTAACATTAGGAAATGAATGTGAAATTTTCTAGAATTTGAGCTGCACTGTATTAACTCATACTGAAATAATTTTTTGTTTGTTTGTTGGTTTTGTTGGGTTGGTTTGTGTGTGTGTGTGTGTGTGAGTGGCTTTGCTGTAGCTTCTCTGCAGCCTCTGTGTAAACAAATATGACAGTATTCTGAAAGCTTTTATATCCCCAGAAGGGACAAATGACAAAGAGGCAAGACATTACAATGAATGTTTATGATCTTTGTCTAGGAACATGACAGTCACAAACCCTCTGCCACCTCTAACTAAGTCTAAATGATTTCTCTCATTTTCCCCAGACCCTGCACCCGGTCACACAGCCTGGCACAATGAAGCTGACGATGGATCGGAAGACGTCCAGTCCGTCGGGCCCAGCAGGCTGCTTTATCACATAACTGATGGGGACAATCCCCTGCTGTCACCTCGATGCTCCATCTTCAGCCAAAGCCAGAGGTTCAACTTGGACCCAGAGTCTGCCCCTTCCCCACCCAGCACTCAGCAGTTTATGATGTAAGAAAACCCGCTTTTGTCATTCTCATCTTTGCATGTGAATTTTGTGCATTGCATTTACAAGCAACAACGTGGTGTGAGTGTCCAAAAGAATGAGAAGATGCCTAGCAATGTAGCGCCAAGCCCTGGTTAATAAATTGATATGAATCACTGAAATCGCTAGTTGGAAATGTTGTTTTTGGCCTAAATATCTCAGGAGGAACTAGCTGTGAGAGAAGAAATTTCCTCAAAGGCTCCATGTTTGAACACATTTTGTGAAATAACCAAAGTTCTGAACATTAAGAATATAATTCTTGAGGTACTCAATAATCTATCCATTTCTATTTTTCTTTTAGATTTTAATGAAGGTTTATAAAGAACTTGGATTTCCACTCATTCATTGTTGCACATTTTCCTCCTTGTCCTCCCCCCCCACCCCTGTTCACTTTTTCCTTTGGAAAAAAAGTTCTTTCATTGTTAGACAGACACCCCCACACACCCACTGCCAAGACCACTTTACTAAGTGGTCTCTTATTCTGGACTCTTGTCATGCCATTAATACTTAATCATATATTCCTTTTATACAGTTCTCTCCTTCATCTCTTTCAATGCTGTGTACATTATTTATCCCCTTTTCTTAGTTTCCACTCAACCCCCATATCAGTCTTGTTCTATAACAGTGGCATTATGCAGTATTTGTCTTTTTGTGACTGAGATATTTAACTCAGCATAATGTCCTCCACAGTCACATATTTTATATAATATTTCATGAGTTCTTTGTTTTTCAGTGTTGCATAATATTCCATTTGTGAATATACCACATCTTCTCTAGCCACTCATTTGTTGATAGGCACTTGGGTTGTTTCCAACTCTTTGCTATTGTGAACAAAGCATGGTTGTGCATATATCTGCTTGGGTGGAATTTCTGTTTTCTTTAGGGTATTATCCCAGTAGTGGAATTTCTAATATTCTGTCCATTTCTAATAGTGGCCTCAGTGGAGACATTGTGAGCATTTTTCAGGTTTGTCCACCTCAAGTTCTTAAGAATCTTGAAAACTGGTAGCTTACATTGGTTGCACAAAATTGCCACTTGGAATTTGAATTTAAGATTGGAGCGGGGAAGAGAAATTTAATAGCCCCCACTGTTTTAAAGTTACAAATCTGTTTTTCATGCATAGCTAAAGCTAAATAATTTCTTGTCTAAAATATACCCAGGGCATCTCTGGTTTCTCTAAAGAATTCATGCAGTGTTATTCATTAATTTATCTAAACCTGTGTCCATAGATTTAGCAAGTAAGTAAACCATTATTATATAGAACTTTGTGCATGTGAAAGAATGTGTATTTCTGTGGACTATAAGTCCATTCTTTTCATCAGATTCTCATAGGCTCTAAGAAGAAGAAGAGCTAAGTACCCATCTAAATCTTCTTGAAAATATTGGTTGATGGAGGGCACACAATCTATTGAGGGTGAGGCCTCTAGAAAGAACTCTTTCTTCTTGTACTTAAATTGGTCTCCTTTAGGGAATTCATTTCTTGACCTATGAATATTTGTGACATTTGTGTTTACTCATAATGGAGTTGCTTTTTGTTTGTGGTTTGTGTTTTTATTTGTTTGTTTGTTTGTTTTTAAATCAGCTGTTGCATTAATGAGCAGGTGCTGGTAGACCCATCACATATGGACTGCTCTCTGGCCTTCTCCAGGAAGTTTGGGTGCATGCTTTCTGTGCTTGATGCTCTTTTCTGCCCTGTGACTGTTGCAGGCCCCGGAGTTCTTCACGTTGCCCCTGTGGGGATGGCAAGGAGCCACAGACCATTACCCAACTCACCAAGCACATCCAGAGCCTCAAACGGAAAATTCGGAAATTTGAAGAAAAATTTGAACAAGAAAAGAAGTACCGGGTAAGGAGCCTGAGGTTTGAAATAGGACTACATAGTGTCAGAGATATATGGTTTTCCTCTATCCCTGTCCTCCCTCTCTACCAATCAATATCTGTTTCCATCGGTCAACTGAGAACCTGTCACGTATTGATTCTTCATCCTGGATCAATCTTATTCTCAGCTGCTACCAGTTGATTTTATTTGACTATCAAGTCCTATACTTGCCATTTTTAAAAAAAAGTTTCTTTGAAGTAATTAAATCGTCACTAGTTTTCCACCCCTAAATTGGGGAGAACTTTAATTTTACTTTTGTATTTCTTTAACCACCCCTCCATATTTATATTGGGATAATAAACTGTCAAAAGATCCAAAGGGCAAATGCTGCATTGTGGAACAGAATGAAAAGAGAATGAGTTTCTTTGACAGGAAAGTACTTACTGGTTGACCAATGGAGACCTCTCAGGTGGCATGGGTTTGGGTCCTAAAGTCCCACCTGACAGAGAACTTCCAGCTTATATGCTGCTGTTCAAGCTCTGAGGGTCTGTCAAGAGTTACTCTATGAACATAGAAGCCAGGCCTCCCTGGTTGGTTGAGTCTACCACAGCTGTTGGACAGTCTCCTCCCCAAAACACAATGTACAGTTCATAGCCCTAGAAACCCTTCTGAGGGTCATCTGTGAGTTAGATTTAACCAACAGCAATGAGGTTGAGTTGTAGTGCTGGTGAAAAATAAACTTTATATTTTTTTCATATAAGAGAAATTCATCACTGGTGAGTGTTCTGATGGCCAGTGCTGGTTCTTGTTTAGTTCCTCCTTCAATCTAGAGGAAAATCATATGTAGATTGCACAAAGATACAGAGTCTTTGGCAGAGAGCCCAGAACAGCTTGTTATTAGAATGAAAATAGACTGAGGAATAATCTCTTGTACATCTTGAAATATTTAAAGGCTCACCAAGCCCTTGGTGCCCCAGCAATCAGAAGATCCCTGTCAGTGTGGGATAAGTTGGTGACAGAGAGGTGAGATGAGTCATATCCCCTCCTTCTACTCCTGCTGTCCTGAGTTTTCCACAGGAACCGTCTCATCCACCAAGAAAAAAGGGGGGTTTTGTGGTTTTTTTTCCTATACCTTTTTTTCTGTCTTTTTAAAAATATATTATTAATTTCAACGAAAATTTGCAGAGACTTTAGATTTCCATTAATTCATTGTTGCACCAAGAGAAAGGTTTTAAGAAGTGATTTTCAGCTCTGCAAAATCGAGAAAAAGTACGATTGGTTTTCCAGGCAGCCTTAGTCAAGGTAACTTTCCTAGTAATCTAGAAGTCTCATCAGCTGGCTGTCTTTTATAGAGCAAGAGGGAGTTTTACATCGGCCTTTATTTCACAGCTGAGGAAACAAAGGTCCAAAGAATACTTGTAACTTGCCTGAGATGGTTTGTTTATCTAAGGGCCCAGGCGTAACGTGGTAGATTAAACGATGAGTGGATTTCCCCCCCGCCCCGTGGAAAAGTATAAGTAAAATGAATGAATATCCAGATGTTGAAAATTCCATCCTGAGAGCAATTCCTCTCCCCTGCTTGTTACCAGAGCATAATTGGTTTTGTGACATCCTCATGCTGAAAACTATAGAGTTGTAACTCTTCCTAGAGTCCACTATGCTTCTAATCTGGCAGTTCTTGAGTCAGTGACTGACATCTCTGTCTCTGCACGGGCACTTAGGAGCTCTGTGGTTTAGACTCATTACGTTAACTTTGTGTCTCAGTTTATCCACCTACAAAGTGCAGTAGAGTGTCGTGACTTCTTAAAAGGGATGACACATAAAAAGTGCTCATCACAATGGAAATTAAGTGGCCATCAATACTACTGACAAAGCTCTGATGTTGTGTTCCACAGAGAGTTGTGCCGCTGACCTTACAACCAGCTTCTCTGGCAGTTCAAATCCACAGGCGGCTTCTAGGGATAAATATGAGTAATCGCCCATGAGATAGAAAATTTCCAAAATCCCACTGGAGCATCAGCTGTGAGTCAGTGCTGACTTAACAGCAGTGAGCAAAGGAAAAAGATTAATTTTTCATCTATTTAAGTAGTTTTGTAACAGGCTAACCTATGACCATCTCTAATTTACCAGACTGAAGGAAACAGATTCCCAGTGAACCTCCAGACCACATTCATTCTTTTATAGACTTCAGTTTCACTCAGATGTAACAGCCAGCCAGCAGTGCTTACTTGGGAGGAGAATTTCTCCTGGCACCTCCTGCGGTTGTCTTGGTCAGCTCTGGAGCTGGCACAGACACGTGCATATAATATACCCTTCAGGCTTCACACGTGCAAACAGATTCAGGAGCCAGCGGCGATGGAGGCTTTGGCATGTGTGAGAGTGTTTGGTGTAATCAGAACCTTGCTTGTCTCAGGAAATAGGGCTTCCCCTTGCCCTTCCTGTCAGGATGCCAGGCTGTGGTTAAAGGGGTTTGACGTGTCAATGGGCTTTAATTGGCTGCTCTGTGTGAGACTTTGCTTCCTGGCAGCCTGGCTGTGAAATTAATAGCACCCACTGCTAATTTTTGAATCTGGTCTCCTGCAGGCCTGTGTATCATTCCATTGCCCATTGCAGCAAGCTTCTGTCCCTCCTTGTTGGAGGCAACCATTTCACATCCTGTATAAAACCATGCTTATTCCCTCTAGTTGCATTTACACTTGATCAGCATTGTCTTCATGGGGCTAGAAAAAGGGTCCGCTTCAATCAGATGTTCACTTGCAGTAGAAACAGGAAATGTTAGAACTGGAAGGGATCCTGACTGGGGAACTTGAGGCCCAGAGGGAAGTGACTTCTCTACAATCACACAGCAAAGAATTGTTCTATCCAAAATAACAACTCGGGGGTTTCCATCCCTGTTCTAGAAATCTCTCTCGTGTTTCTTTTTAGCTTCTCGGGCACACAACAAAACTAGCCCCAAGGTCCTCCCATTTCTGTGGCTCAGGAACCTCAGTTTAAAGGCAGTGGGCAAAATAAAAAAACGGACCTTGTCTGTGAATTAACAATGAGGACTATGAAGCCAGAAGGTCTCCCTGTAGAAGACGGAGGCTTGAGAAACCACAGTTTGTATCGGAAACTTTCCATTTGATTTGAGGGCTGCGTCAGAACTGGTGAGAGTTGGTCTCACATACTTTAGGCATAGTATCAGGAAGGGCTAGTCTCTTGAGAAGAACATTATGCTTGGGAAAGTAAAGGACAGGGAAGTACAAGAAGACCCTCAACCAGATGAGTTGATACAGTGATTGCAGCAGTGGGCTTCCGCACTGCAGAGGTGGTGAAGATGGCTCAGGATTAGGCGCTTTCATTCTGTGGTCCAGAGGGAAGGTCACTAAGCTAAAGCTGACTCAACCTCACCTAACAACAGCCAAGTAAGTTTGCTTTAATGTCTTTTAAATGCAGGGTCACTGTATTGGATTCTTAGGGCTGTTATTAAAAATATTTACAAACTGAGTAGCTTAAACATTATTCTCTATGTTAGGGGCTGGCTGGCTGATATTGAGGCACCAGCAGGTCCATGTTTTCTCTGAAGGCCTCAGTGGAGGAATCCTTTCTTGGTTCTTATAGCTTCTAGTGGTTGTCTGTCAACATGTGGTATTCCTTGACTTGGAGAGGCATCATTTCAATCTGCCTTTGCATGGTCTCCTTCACTTTGTGTCCCAGTTACCTTTTTCTTACCAGGACACAATCATTAGACTAGAATTCATTGTAATCCAATATGCTATTTTAATTTAATGACATCTCCAAAATGACATCTTTCTTCTAAATAAAGCCACATTCTCATAATCTGGGATTAGGATTACACCATGGGGTTGCGATTGTTATGCCAACTCATAGCGATTCTGTGAACAATAGCTCTGAACTCTGCTCTGTCCTAGCCAATCTTATCATCTCTGACACACTTGCCCCCATTGCCACAGTCACTGTGTCAATACATCTCATTCAAGGTCTTACATAGAGTCCAGCCTCCCCAATGATCTACTCTGCATATTAATTGAAAAGGTATGGAGAAAGGACACATCCTTGATGCACTCCTTTCTTGATTTTGAACCATGTAGTATTTCCTTGCTTTCTTTGTATAACAGCTTCCTGGGCTAGGTATAGGTGTCTTAACAACACAGTCAAGTGTCTGGGATTCCCATTCTTCTCAGGCTTAGCCACAATTTGTGGTGATCCACACAGTGAAATGCCTTTGCATAGTCAATAAAACACAAATAGACATTCCTGTGATCCTTTCTGCTTTCAGCCAAGATCCATCTGACATTGACAATGATAACCCTTATGCCATGGCCTCTTTTATACCCAGCTTGTGTTTCTGACAGTTCTCTGTTGATGTATTGTTCTAGTTGTTTTTAGATAATCTTCAGCAAGATTTTGCTTGCATGTGATATTAGTCATGCTGTTCAATAATTTCCATGTTCTGTTGAATTGCCTTTTTTTGGAATGGGAATAAATATGGATTGTTTCCAGTCAGTTGGCCAGGTAGTTGTCCTTTACATTTCTTGACACAACACCACTTGGAGAGAATATCCAGGGCTGCATCTTTTGGTTGAAATAGGTCAATTGGTATTCCATCAATTCCTGGGGCCTTATTTTTTGCCATTTCTTCTGAGCAGCTTGAACCTCCTCCTTCTTTACCATTGTTTCATGATCATATGCTATTTTAAGAAATTATTTTGTGCCAGCTAATTTTTTTGGTACAGTGACTCTGTGTATTCTTCCCATCTTTTTTTTTTTAATGCTTCATGGATCATTTAATATCTGTTAACATCTTTAAGTGTTGCAACTTGAGGTTTGAATTTGGTCTTCAGTTCCTTCAGCTTAAGAAATGTCCAGCAAGCTTTTCCCTTTTGATTTTCTGACCCTAGCTCTTTACACATCTTAATACTTAATACTTCCTAAGCTGCCCTTTGAAATCTTCTGTTTAGCTCTTTAACTTCCTGATTTCGCCCCCTTTGTTCTGGCTTCTCAGCACTCTAATGCAGTATTTAGTCTCTTCTGACATTTTTCTTGGTCTTTTCTTCCTCTTCTGTCTTTGTAATGAATTTTGCATTCTTCATGGATAATATTCTTGATATTATCTGGTTGCATTAGTGTTCAAGGCCTCAACCCTGTTCTTAAGATTATTTTTAAATTCAGGTGGGATGGACTCAAGGTCATAATTTGGTTCCTAGATCAGGATCCTATCTTGAAATAAATGATCCTAGATAGTGCTCCTTATAGACAACATGACAAAACTTCATCATATTCTATGAACTTTGATAAATTACGTTAGTTATAGAAAGGCTTCAGGCCTTTTGTTCATGGGATCCTAGGAGTTGTGCTGGACTGGACGGCAACAATCAACAACAACAACAGTTATCAGGAGGAGCCATTGTTTGTAGAATGACATCATGCAGGGAAGGATGGAGAGGCAGTGAAAGAAAGGAAGCCCCTCAACAAGATGGGTTGACAGAGTGACCGCAACAAAGGGCTCCAGGATATTGGAGATGATGAGGACTGGGCTCCACAGGGCAAGGTTCAGACCTGTTGCGGTGAGTGCTAGCTAGTGTTAGTGTTAGACTCGAGGACACCTAACAACGATAAGAGGCTAGTTGTGCTGCCACCAAATTTTAACAAGAGAAAGATGGACAATCTCCTCACATTAAACTTATAATAGCCTCAGGAACCAGATGGAGGCTTGCTATAAGCTGGAACCAACTCAATGGCAGTGAGTTTGAATTTTGGTTTTGGTTGGGTTTTTTTCTGATTTTTTTTTTGTCTTGTTTAATCAGTTTCCTTACAAAGTATTCAAGGAACTATAAACTCCCAGGTAGGAGGGATTCATTCCAGTTCCAGGAACATTTCAACAGCAAGAAGTCAGCACTGATCTGTGCCCATACAGTCTTCTGCTCAGCTGAAGAATTGGTGTGTGGGATTGGGTGTATCGGGTCAGGATGGAAGAGGCACTGGCGTGTTGGACAGTGTGTTTAGAAACAATGCCTATGACAAGGATTAAAGAGTAAAGGAGGCCACGAATGTTTGCTTCATTTTCCAGAAGCAACTCCATCAGCCAGGGTTTTCATGGCTGAATTTCTCTCCCAGTTTTAATTGTTCTTGAACTATCTTTGTGTGGTGGTCAGCTATTTACAATGTTTGTTTTCCTTTTCACCTTTTCCTTCCCTCCCTTTGTCGCCTCCTCTCCCTTCCTCCTTCCACTTTTCCTTCTCCTTGGTAGCCTTCACATGGTGACAAGACATCTAATCCTGAAGTCCTGAAATGGATGAATGATTTGGCTAAAGGTCGTAAACAGCTCAAAGGTAAATGCCAGCCAAAGGTCTCTTTTCCTCAAAAGGGAGCAGTAAGGAGGTGGCCATGTGCTCCAGGGCATTTTTTATTCATTTCCAGGTGGACAACACAGGTTGTCCTTTTGAACCTTGTTTCCTGCCTGGATCTGGGGGTCTGTCTTGATATACAGGATTGGAAATATCTTTCAAGGTGCCCTGGTGGTGCCATAGTTAAAGTGCTTAGCTGCTAAATCCTGAGTCAATACTGACTTTGTCGCAGTGGGCTGGGTTTGGTGGGTGGATAGCCTTCATTGATTGGCCTCATTTAATCAATTTATGTACAAAGAATCCAAGGACTCCCAGGTGGAATGATTCACTTCAGTGCCAGGAACATGTCAAAATCTGGAGTGTTGACCTCCCCTGGGCTATTGAACTGCTGGATGTTCAAAATAGGTCTGAGAAAACAGTTAATCCAGTTTCTGACTGCACAGTTGAAATAAAAAAATTAAGCTCAAAGAAAAAGATCACGTAGTAAGGAAGAGGTTGAGCCAGGGATAAACGTGGAAGTCCTTCCTCCTGATCCTCTATTTATCCCTCTCAGTCTCAGTCCTTCTGTGGAAGTATGAGGGTTAATTAGATCGCAACTTCACTTTTAAAGAATTATTATTATTATTTATTATTATTAGCAGCTATAAATAAACTCCATTTTAACTATCATCATTATTATTACAACAAATAATAACAAAAGTTCTTTAAAAATGGAGTTTAGAGCTAATTAATAACATTCATTATTGTTATGAACGATTACTTTCTTTCCCCCTTATTTCAATACTGAGCAACATGGACATTTTCTTTATTTCTAGAAGGAGGGTGACTAAAGGCTGGAAAGAAAGGTTAACTTGGTGGTATTAAGCTGAAATGGTGCAGCAGGTTTATAAAATATGCAGGACTTAAACATCAGCCAGAGTCTACAGAACAAACTACCCAAACAGCAAACAAACAAAATGGTCTATGGAAATTGACAAATCAATATAAAGAGCCATTCAAATGATTAGTCCTCCAGCATACTCAGAAATGTAACTTCCTCATGGGTCCCACGTGGACTCTTTGTTTTTCATGATGTGTACTTACAGAAAGAGCCCTGGCAGTGCAGCAGCTAAGTGTTTGGCTGCTAACCACAAGGTTAACAGTTTGAACCCACTCGACTCGTCTCTGCAGAAGTAAGACCTGTAAAGACGTCAGCCTTGGAAATCACCCCAGGCTGGTTCTACTGTGTTCTAGAAAGACACTGTAGATACTGCCCTCCTATAGAGTCAGAATTGACTCAGTGATACACAGCAATAATAATCTAGGCAGATAAAAATACGTGACAGTATTGGTTCTGTCTGAATTTTAAAAGCCGGCATTAGGGAAAATTGTAAAATCGGCCTAATTCAGGCTGGCACGCCCACGTCCATTTCCCGTCCTCCCTGTGTCTCCACAGATGTCTGTATGCGTACTGTCTTCCAGCACCACTTGCATTTCCACAGAGGTGCTCTTAAAATCAAAGGTAGTAATTCCTCGAATGTAGAATTTCAGGTCTACAGTAAGTAGTAGGTAGACATTTGTGAGCCAGTGTCAGCGGTCCTTCTGGGAAGTCTAACCCACTCAGTTATTTCTATGTTTGATGCTATACCTCCATAAGGTCTCAGCTTCTGCAGCTTGTTTTCACACGGTTGGGAGTTGATGCTGTTGCCTTGGTGATGAAGGATGGCCTTCCCCAGAGGAATGCCCCCCTTAGCACTGTTTGTTTCCAGTGAATTGGTACCAGGAAAGGGCATCCCTGAAAAGATCTCTGTTTTCATCAGGGCCAATGGGTAATCCTGGTAAACCTCACTCGTGGTAACTCGTGACCTTTCTCTTAGAACTAAAGCTGAAGCTGTCAGAACAAGGGAGTGCTCCCAAAGTACCACTGAGGGACCTGCCCTGTGAGCAACCTGCGTTCCCCACAGAGAACGGGAAGCCAGAAGCTGCAGGTCCGGAGCCAAGTGCCTCGGGAGAGGAGACCCCAGATGCCGTCATAAAATGCTTGAAGAAGAGAGAACAGCTTCTCTCCCAGGAGGACCCTAAGGTACCTCCTAGGATTTCCCTGAGAACTAATGCTCCACATGGTGCTAGTGAAATCATGGTTTTGACCAATTTGCATGGGCACAATGACACCACTTTCATCCTCAGGAAAGTGGCTCTGAAATCTAGGTCAGATGGATTCTACCTACCACCTGGGAAGCACAAGCTGCTTGTAATTAGCAACTAACATAAAGTTTGGTGGTTCAAGCCTACTCAATAGTTCATTGGGAGAAAGGTCCAGAAATGTGCTTCCATAAACACTGCAGCTGAGGAAAACAAAAATCTTATGGGGCATTTCTACTCGTGAATCAGAACAGGAAGCAGTGGGTTTGCTTTTTCATTTTTTGTTTGTGTTTTGTTTTGTTTCTTTGGGTGTTGTCCTATCATTTCAGTATATGTTGCTGTTTTGAAAGTTACAGGGTAGCATACTGATTGGAAGCAAATGGTGAAGACATTGGGGTCTATCATATCCTACCCTCCCCAAGCTTTCCCCCACAGACATTAACAAGTGAATCCAAGACCACAGAACAAGCTCATTGTTGAAGGAAAGTGCTCTAGTTCCTGCTTTCCCATGTGTTTTATAAAAAAAGAGTAAGACAAGGAAAGGCTTACACAGTAAGGAAAGTGCTTTCCATTTTCCTTCAAAATGTTAGAGATGGAGAATCTTTTATAGTCAGGTTAGAACTGAGGCTCTAAATGTTTTGATTCTGAAATCGCTGTGAGATATCCAGTAAGAGTTGTCATTTAGGCACTTGGACATGTGAATCTGGAACTCAAGAAAATAACAGTTTATAGTTTATAAAGAAGATAAGAGCCATTGTCATTTATCTGGTTAGCTCCTTTTTATCCTGTGATTCTGTTTACATTTGGGTCCAGGAAGCTTTCTGTGGCCCTTCTTGTCTTACCCTGGAGACTGGTGTGACCGACTTCCCTGAGTAAGAGCTGTAGAGAACCTTATCATAGCTCTTATTATGATCCTTGGCATTTGCCATCTCATACAGTGCCTGTCCTATTTATTTAATACATATTGAATAACTGTTTGCTGAGTGAAAGGATGAACAAATGATGAATAAAATAGTGTATTTAATGGTGAAAGAATGGTGCCTATAACGGCTCTATTAAACATTGGTGTTGATGATTGCTGTCTAGTCGAGCATGACTCATAGCAACCATTTGAACTAAAGGTCATTATCTGGTCTTAATTATAAGGTACCAAAATTTCCCTATGTATATCTGGATTAGTTCATTGTATTTGGTACGGTGATCTATAAGTAGAAATGTTCCAATGGCCACCACTGTTTTCCTGAAATACCTTTAGATTCAAAATTAATCAATATGTATTGTGATTAGTGAAGAGAAGACTTGCAATCATTTAGTCAATCTATCTGCTCACAACCTGCAAAGATTTTATACCTCTTTGTTAGCCAGTGGATAACTTTTATTCATGTACCGGTCCTCAGAGACATCTGCGGTCATCTATCCTTGAGCACTTCTGAGGATATTTTTGGCATTTCAGAGTTATCTTCACCACAATATAAAAGATCAACTTAATTGACAACCACTTCCTAATTCTATCTTCTATTTCAAACTGTATAGTGAGTTGAGAGTGGTTGAGTACACTTAGAGCAGGAGTCAGTGTTGAATCAGATACCACATGTAGTTAACAAGAGGATTCTCAGAAATGCCACATCTTTGTTGTAAAATACAGTTAGTGTCCATTTATATCATTATTACCACTTATATCATTATCACTGGAAAGGAGTAGCCTGGTAAGTAAATTTCTTTTGCAAAAACATTTATGAGGTCATGTTGTTGTTGTTGTTGTTGTTGCACCATCAAGTCAGAACTGACCCATAGCTGATCCTCCAGCAGATTTTCAGACACAGTTCATCACAGAGGAGGAGATCGCCCATCCTTATCCTGAGGAGTAGCTGGTGGATTTGAAGTGTGTGCCTTCAGGATTGCAGTGCAGCTTCTTGCCACTCGTCCACCAGAACTCACACTGTGCGCTGTAATGAATTTAGCCACCTGATATAGCAAAGACAAAAGATGGAAAGTTATGAGAGTCTCTGTTCTAATAGAGCTCATGTTCTCCTAGGGTTTGGCATATGACAACTGAAGAAAAACCTCAGTTCAATAAATGGAATAATTACAGATTTGATAATCACACTGTAGGGAATGTAATGTAAGTAACGGGTATGGTATCATTTTTAGACAGGATGATTAGCAAGGCCAAAATGGTGATCAGCGTGAAGAAGCAATAAAGAACATTCTAGGTAGAGTGTATTGAAGGTATGAAGTCCTCAAAGCATGAACAAACATGTGTACTTGACAGTCTCAGATCTAAGTGCTATGACACTGAATCACATAAGATAAAAAAAAAAGATAGGGAAGGTAGTGCCCAACTCACAAGACCTTTTACGTAGTAGATGCTACCCTGAAGATGCTGAGGGGTTTTGAGCAGGAAAGTGGCATATTAGCATAGTGACATCTTTCTGATTTTTATTGGACTAGCATGCTTACTTCTAGAGGGGGAAAGAAGTGGATACATTCAAAGTACATTTTGGTTGCGGCATCAAAAGTATTTGCTAAAAGCCCTGGATGTGAGGAAAGAAATGAAGACTCCAGAGTGGCCGTTGGGCGATTTATTGTTAAGGCAGGGGGTGGGGACTGGAGAATAAGCTTCGTATGGATGATGATGACTCAAGAGATCTGGGAATTTTTAACATGTGAATTTTAACATTCTGGGGGAATGGGTAATCAGCCACTCCAGCTTGCCCGAGACTTTCCTGGGTCCTAAGGAATCCCAGACAAGCTGGCATGTTTGATCGCTCTGGTCCTGCATCTACGGGCAGCAGGCATCCAAATGCATACATCAAGCACACCCTAGAGATCAGTGAAAACATGTCCCAGTTCTTAAGAAGTCATCTCTGAATAGATATTGAACCATTTAATAATTGTCAGAAGCCCTTTCTGATAAACCCAGCAACTATGGTAGGTACTTTAAATGGAAAGTGTCTGTAGAGGAATATGTTGGCCTAAGTCTCCCTTGGGAGAGCTTTACATAGTTAACCATGGGTTTGTTATTTAACACTAATGTGCATCCTGGGCAGAAGTGCAGAAGCCACAGTAGAACCATAGGGAAGATGGTATGTTTCCAGAGTCGTTGGTATGATTCCTGGCTCTTCAGTAAACTCATCAGCCCTGGAGATCATCTCATTAGATTCTGCTTCTTTAAACTCAAATTGATAAATAACTTTCATCAGGGGTTCTTGCCTCCCTGGTGAAAATGGATTAAATAATAAAACTTCAAAGATGAAAAATGGTTCCTTTTGCAGATCGACCTACATTGCATCGTGAATCTTCACGTCTGATGTTTTTGCTTTTGGTGGTTAGTCAGAGCCCATACTAAAACCAATAAATCCTACAATATTGGTTTGTCAGTGAAGATACAGCTAATGAGAAATTTCCTTCCTCTTTCATCTCAGGATGATTTTTGGAGATAATCACTTGTGGGTCACAGCAGCCTTTGTGTGGTGGAAGTGAATCATCACTGGAGTATTACTTCAGTGCCTTTTTATGTCTTTCCTTTGAAAACCCTAAGTTGGTGCTGGCACTTTGGACCCATTTTGTTGTCCTTTCCTAGCACTGAGGTGGGGCAGGGGCACAACAGTAATCACCAAGACGAATAATGGCAGCTACTTCCTCTGCCCTCTGTCAGTCGTACCATCTTTAAGGAGGGAAGGTTGCAGAACAAAACAAATTGAATTCATTTTAACTTTGAAAACTTGGAGAACATTAAGAACATATGATTAATATGTATGTTGTGGGTGGGAGAGAGGAAGACCGAGATAAAGGGCACCAAAGAGAAGAGTCTACAAGTCCTGAAGAGCCTTGGACCTTTTGACTTTTTTTCTTTTTGGACCTTTTGACTTTTGAGAATATTTAGTGTTTTCGTACATGGCTGCTGTGTGTCGTGGAGTCGGAGCTGATATATGGGTGACCCTCCAGCAGGTTTTTAGAGGCAATAAATTGTATGGGAGGAGAGGAGACTGTCCATCTTTCTCCCCCAGCTGGTAGATAGGAACCATGTACCTTTGCATTGACAGCACAATATTTTACATATATATATGTAAAGTATTTTACACATATATTTTAATATATATTAATATGTATTTATATATAGATAGATATATGTAGAGAAAGGAGGTTACATAGCAAAAATTATATATATTTATAAATGCTACACAGTGAAAACACTGCTTCCCACTCTGCTACCGTCTCCAGCTCTGGGATGCTCCACCTCAAGCTTATAACTGCTGTTGTTGATAGCTCCTGCTTCCTTTTGAAGTTACTCTATAAATATAAGCCGCAGTATATACTTTCAGTTTATCTATTTTAAACAAATGGTGACAGTCTGTGCAATTATGTATCTTTTGTTATTATTGCAGTTATGTATCCTTTCAAAACATGTATTATCTCAGAGAGATTTTCTATCAAAGCAATGATACCTTTTCATTATTATCTTTTAAGTCTGTTCTTTAATAACATGTAGTCTTCTTTTTTTATATTAACAGACCAGAATTGGTTGCATACTTCAAGGTCAACTAGTTTAGTAATTTAGCTCATATTTTGTATGCTTGACTCTGTGCCAGGGATGCTTATATATGATAATTTGTCAAAAGTGATCGATAGTCTGTTATGGAAAAGTTGAAGATCAGAGAAAACATAATTTATGCCCTAAAAATGGTTTGCAAATTTTGAAGGTGGTTATCTGTACTCAAGTCCTCTGGTTTCGAGTTCATACCAGTCTGCATTGCCATGCTTGCCAATTTATTTTTATTTTTATCTTCTTTGTTTGGTCAGATTGATCAAATGGTCAGACTTGTTCCATATATGTGTCTTTCTCAGTAGAGGACCAGAAAGTCTTAGCAAGACTTGAACTCATAAAGTAAAGAGTAATAGGTTTTATCATGTAACTCTCCAATTTTCTTTCTTTCCTTGAAGGGAAACTCCTTATGGGGATAAGCAGAGAGAATTTTACTTACATATTTCGGTGGTTTACTATGAAAGAATTTAAAGATCTAGTGGTACAGGAGGAAGGAAAACAAGTGTCATGATAAAAAGACTTGCACTTTGACATTTCTTCCACCAACACACACACACACACACACACACACACACACACACACGACAAAGGTTCAAAAGGAACCAGCCTAGGATGGCCACTTATAATTAACTTGCTTTTTCAGGATTAAAAGTAAACTTTTAAAAATAATTCAGGCAATATGCTATAAATAAATATTATTGTTGTTATGTGCAGTTGAGTTGGAACTGACTCCTTCAGTGAGTTTTCAGAGGCTATAAATTGCACATCCAATTTCCTATCTTTCTTCTTCAGAGTAGCTGGTAGATTTGAAGTATCTGCTTTAGGATTGGCATTGAAACTTCCTGTCTTCTACCGGAGTTCCGCCTACCAGAGTCCAACTGCGTAGTTGTTGCTGTTGTGTGCTTTTGAGTCAGAACTGATCCAGTGGGTTTTCAGAGGCAGTAAAGAAAGCTCATCCTTCTCTCACAGAATAGCTGGTCAATTTGAATCACGTGCCTTTGGGATTGCAGCTCAGTTTCTTACCACTGCGTCACCAGAGTGCCCTGCTTAGTTACTACTAAGATATAATTCAGTATAAAAAGATCTTAAATTGTTTTTAGTATTCACATAATCTAAGAAATATAACATATAAGCAATTCATAAACATATACGATATTATTCTTTGATTAAAATTGATAATAAATATGACTAAGCATTCCTTATAGTCTGATAGTGGTGAAGGTCTGTGGTGAGGGGTGACAGAAGCTCTAGTGACACCACATTTTAAAGAAATATTATTTCAGTGTGTTCTTAACTGGTTATGTTAAGATTGCTTCTTAATCTGTTACCTGTTAAAAACCCAGAGAATACATTTTGATGAATTTTTTTTCATGAAAAGATGTGTGTCATGACTAAGAAAGTATCTAAATGAATAAACTAGAATATGAAAATATTAAAGAGACGGGATATTTCCTCCCAACTAGGGTGAAAATAAAAGGTTAAAGGTGATGAAGGTTATAAAAATAGAGGGGTTTTTTGCATATTAAGTTGAATTAATAGATTGATAGTAGGGGTGAAGATCTATTGGGTAGTGTAAGAATTTAAAGAAATATATGATGTATCTTTAACCAAAGAAACTTCTAACTTATGTGGGTCAGCAAGACTGAAACATGGAAGAAATATAAGGCCCAGATAGTGTGACAGAGAAGTGCAAAGGAAAGGGACTGGATTGTGGGGGAAGGACAAAGATAGAAGATGAGCTTTTAAAGAAAATTTGGGCAATTGACATGGGAATTTACCTTTGTGAAGTTACATAAAATTAAGTAATTTATTACAGCGGCGTTGTTTTTTAAAAGGAAAAAAAGAAGAAGAAGAAAAGGTAGAGGAGCCATCTGTGTTTTTTAGGGAGAAGGACATCATGCTTGGGAGGGTGGAGGGACAGTGCAGGTGAGGAAGACCCTGAATGCAAACTAACTGGGGCAACAGGGATAGGTGTACCAGAGAGAATAAGATTTGCTCAGGATATGGGGGATTCAGACCTATAGGACATAGGGATACTTTGAGTTGTAGGTAACTTGGTTGCACATGACAACATAATAATAACTGGCCTACTGGTGAGAAGTTGCATTGCAGTTTCAAAGGCATGCATCCATTGTTGTTGTTGTTTTTATGTGCCGTCGAGTCATTTGTGACTCATAGCGATCCTATGTACAACAGCCCTAAACCCTGCTCTATCCTGTGCCAATCGCACTGCCTCCGACACACCCATCCCGATTACCCCAGTCATTGAATCAATCCACCTCATAGAGAGTCTTCCCCTTCTGCCCTGTCCCTCCACCTTACCAAGCATGACGTCCCTCTCCAAGGACCTGTCTCTCCTTACCACATGTCCAAAGTATGTCAGACGAAGCCCCAGAATCCTTGCCTCCAAGGAGTAGCCTGGTTTAACCCTCTCCAGGATGAATCTGTTTGTTTTCTTGGCAGTCCAGGGTACATTCAATACTTTTCTCCAGTACCACAGCTCAAAGGCATCAATTCTCCTATCTTCCCTAGTCATTGTCCAACTCTCTGATGCATAACAAGGGATAGCAAAGACCATGGCCTGTATCAGGAGCACCTTAGTCTCCAGAGAGCGAGGTCCCTAACAGCAGACTTTTCCATTGCGATGTGTCTTTTGATTTCCTGGCTGCTGGTGCCAAGAGTGTTGACCATGGAGCCAAGCAAACTGAAGCTGTGAACAATCTCAATCTCTTCACCATCCATCCTGATGCTACCAGATGGTCCAGTGGTGAGAATCTTTGTCTTCTTGACATTGAGCCTCAGTCCATACTGAAGGCTTCAGTCCTTGACCCTAGCTAGTTCTAATCCATTAGTTGCTCCATAGTTGAAGGATGGGCAGTCTCCTCCTCTGTGATTAACTGCCTCTGAAAACCTGCTCGAGGGTCAGGATTGGTTCTGACTTGAAAGCACAAGACAACAACTGAAAAGCTTTTCAAACTTAGAAAATAACATGCTTGAACTATTATATCTTTGGAGAATTTGAAAGGTAGAGTCAAGCACTACTTTGAGGAATATGTACTTTGATAAAAGCTATCTGGATGATTTTATAATTTTTATATTTCCACCATGACTAAGTCCACTGTCTGCTCAGTGGAGGTCATTAATTGTCTTGAGTGATAGTGGACATAGTGGGTAGAGCCTATAGTGCCAATTAATATAGGATACTCCGTGGGGAGAAAACTGAGCCAAATGTAGTTTGGTTACTTTGGGTAGATGATGATGTTAAATGACTAGCATGCTATATGGCCTGGTAAAGTAGTACTTACTTTTACCTGACTAAGCAGTAGACACATTGGTAGAGAGTTGACCTAGAAGCTATGGTATTTTTTACTTATAACTAAGCGATATGTCAAAAATTACTATCTTAGGCTGTATTCTCTAAGGAAGCAAAACCAATGGAAAAATATAAATGTTGTTGTTGTTGTTGTGTTGATTGCCAACAAGTCGAGCACAACTCAGCAACACTATGAACAAAAGACCTGAAGCTTTTCTATAACGGTTGTCATTTCTCAAAGTTCATAGTTTCCAGAGGCATGTTCTTTTAAGTGGATAGTACTCCTCTCTCTCTCAAATATATATATATATGTATATTTGGAGTATAGATAAAAATTCTAAGGTGGAAATGAACTAATCAGCTCAGAGACTCAGTGCTGTTGAATCAACCATAACACTCATGACCCGAGTAGATAGAACTGTGCCATTGGTTTCCAATACTATAAATCTTTATAGAAGTAGACTGCTATATAATTCTCCAGAAACCTTTATAAATGTGTTTCTTTTTAAGCCTGGTCCTAGTCTTTAAGAAAGTTATCTTGAAAGAAATGTCCTTATATAATACCTTATGTACTATTTTCCATTTTTAATCCTTTTATACCATTATAATCCTTCTTTGAGGCTTCAAGATATTTCTCTTTTTGCCTGCTAAAATTATCAACATGTAACTTTTCATTATCCTGAGAAAAGAAAAATAATTAATTTCATGTTTTTCAGGTAACTAAGCAAGACAAGAACCTCATCAAGCCTCTTTACGACCGATACAGAATTATCAAGCAAATCTTATCAACACCTTCCCTTATCCCAACAATTGTAAGTCAGGTGCTTACAATTCTAATATTCACTAGAAATTGTTACTGGTGCTGATATTGCTGCTTGGTTAGGAAGTCAGCACTCTTGAGAGTTAGAGGGGCAATAGATGCTGCGAACATAGCCAGTTATTATTTCTAAAAATAGAATGTCTTCCTTCTACTCTAATACGGGACTGCATCTAATACAGCATCTGCTAATTGGAACTATTGTGTTTATACAATTAGAATGTATATCTGAAATAATTTATAATGGTTTCTATTACCCTGAGTGTGTGAAGGAGAGACAATTTATTTCAGAGTGGCATTGTCTAATGCAAGACCAGACAGAATTCCTTTATTCTGTCCTGGTTATTTTTCTACATTACTAAGAAGATTGATAGTATGTTTCTTGATACAATGGAGCATTTGGTTTGTGTACTATCTGACCATCATTGTATAAGACATAAGTAGATTTCCATCAATGGAAAAGAAATGTGCTGAAATTGAGTTAGACTACTTTTAGTAAAGAATGGTTTATTGGATGAGAGAATTCAAGAAGCACCACAAGTCCTATGCCAACAGTAGCAAAACATGTTATCAATATAAAAAGGAATAAATGAATAGAAATTGAAATACACAAAGCATGATGAGCCAGGCTTTGAAATTTACAGATTTTTAAAGTTATTTCTTGTAAGAAAATATTTTGGTTATAATAAGAAATATCAGAATATATCAATATATATTGATATATCTACAGAGAGTACAGTTTTACTTTGGACTTCATAGATCACTTCCCTTACCTGTCAATTTGCTAAGTCTCCTTGGTGCCTGAGTTTAGCCTACATCTGAACTTAATTTAGGTTAGTTCATCACTAGTATAAGCCCAAGGCCCAGGAGATCTGGAATGAGGGGAGGAATCTCTTGGCAATGCTGAGAATCTATGACTTGGTTTGCTCAATATACAAAGATAAAAGTGGTATGCATTTTAGCCTAGTGTGGGTGCCTCTTTGCTCATCGACTTCTGTAAATTTCTTTAATGCAATGGCGTTGATCTTGATTGCACTCTGCCTGGTTCTCAGAAGGTGCAGGTATCGCCTAGAGATTTTCATGATGCCCACTTACGGTTATCCTTCCTGGCTTTGCTTCCTTCAGGAGGTACTTAGCACCTGCACTTTATTTAACCCTGCCTGTGTTAAGCAGGAGGAAGAGGACTCTGATGAAGACTATCCACAGGGAAGCCAACAGTCGTCTTTGGCGGACCCAGCATCTCACACCCCTGTTGGTGAACACCTCACCTACTCCAGTGAGATTGAACCTGTGAGGGTCCTGCTACAAGATGAAAAGAAAGAAGTCAAACAACCAGCCCTTTCCATGTCCAATTTACATGAGGCCACCATGTGAGTAAATCCTCAGCATGGAATCTCATTTTACATCTTAGTCTGAAGTACCTTATATTTATATATGAAGTTCAAAAGTACTATTATTCTAGCCAAATACTCTCTGATAAGAATCATCAACCAAAATTTAGTCTAAATGAATGATTTCATTATCTTGTGAACTGGAAAATTGAGAATACAAAGCCATGAGGAGCCAAGACTCCCCAAAATGTCCTAAATATATGCCATAGTAATGCTTAGTTTGCTATGATCATACCTCTTTACAGCAGGGGCAAGCCCGAGTCTAACTCTGAGAAGGGTGTGAAATAGGATTAGCCCTTTAAATTGCTGAACAATGATCTTGGCTTTAAGTAAATAAATTGCCTTCATCTCATAAGGTCTTCTGGTTCCATAACGTATAGTATGGAGCAGTGAATTAATATCCCAAGATAGTGATGGAAACCACACGTGTGTGTGAGGAGTCTAAGGACTAAGATGTAAGAGAAGATTTCAACATGCCTAGATAATCAGTTGTTACCTTTATTTCACAGAATAATAACTTGTTTGGAAGCAGAAAATCCTGCTGCTTTTTCTTTTTTGGTGTGGTGTTTTTCTAAAGTAATGACTTCACTCATTTTTAGGGACTGTTGGATTTTTGAAAAGCAATGTTTTATTTTGGGTGTTTTTTGTTTGTTTGTTTGTTTGTTTGTTTGTTTGTTTGTTACAAAATGTGCACCTATAATTTCAAGGAGCTCAGAGATCCTGAAACCCATACACAGGTTTCCCAGATTAAAATTTCTGCTTTCTTGTTTTAGAAGAAAAAGGAGAGTTGAATTTGCAGTGTAATTAAACTCTGCCAGAGCTTCATTTCCTTCTGAAGGATCTTCTTCTCCCCACTCTCTAGATTAGGTAGAAGGGGAGTTTTACTTGCAGTCTTTTCATCTGGTTTCCTTTGTTGCAGATCACCAAATCCGGATAGCTAGTCCATCAAAACGCCTGCTTCTCATCTATTCTTACTTCTCATAACCTCGTTACTTCTTAGAAGGAACCCTAACTAGTTTTCCTGCCTCCTGATTTTTCTCCTTTCTTATTACATTGCTTCCTTTATTCTTTTATTTTATACTGGTATTTACAAAGTTCATACACAGTTTTTCACACTGGATCTTTTCCCATTTCCTTCACCCCCTCTTCCGCTAATCAAATTGTGTGACTCTCTGATCAACGCCTGTCCCAGACCCCATCCTCAGCCCTCTGCTCTCCTCCTCCTCCTCCTCTTGGATCCTCACACTCATTCTATTATAGTGGTCTTATACGATATTTGTCCTTGTAGAACTGGGTTAGTTCACATAGCACAATGCTCTCCATTCCCTTCCAAGTCAGGTAGTAATTTACAAAATTATTGCTCTTGTGTGCTTTGTAGTATTCCATCGTGTGAATATACTGTAAAATTGCTCAACCATTCAATTCTGGTTGTGCACTTGGACTGTTTCCATGTTCTTGTGATGGTGAATAATGCTGCTGTGAACATTGGTGTACAAATCTCTGTTTGTACCTCATTTTCTCAGGGTATATTCCAAGAAGTGGAATAGGTGGGTCATAGTGAGGAAGCGCCAAACTGCCTTTCAGTACCATTTTACAATCCTACCAACACCGTATAAAGAGTTCCTATCTCACCACATCCTCTCCAACATTTATTACTTGCTGTCCTGTTAGACTTTGCCAGTGTTCTGGAGTGAGATGGTATCTCATTATGGTTCTGATTTGCATCACTCTTCTTGCCAGTCCTATCACATTGCTTTCATGCATAATTTCCTCTACTTCTGTGCCATGCCCTCCTACGATCAGGTTCCACATGTGCCATACTTATCTAAATGGGGCCTTTAGACAGAACAAAATTATTATATACTTTTGCTGAACAGATAAATCCATTCATGATGTTCTCCCACTTGGGTAAGAGTTTCATAACAGCAAATATATACTTTACATGTTTTAGGCCTGTGCTTCTTGACCATCTCCGAGAGACCAGGGCTGATAAGAAGAGACTTCGGAAAGCCTTAAGAGAATTTGAAGAACAGTTTTTCAAACAAACCGGAAGGTAAGTGTAGGGTGATATATTTTAAGCTAATAATTCCTAGAATTTTTAAAGCTAGTAATACCTCAAACACTATCTTTTAAGAGTGAACTGCAAGCTTCCTACAGAAAGAGGAAGTTTCTATAAGAGGTTAAAAAGTATAATAACTGGCCTCGGGATTTCTGCACAACATTTGCTAGTACCATCACTAGGGATGTTTTATGGCAAGTGATAACTGGCCCGTGTGGCACCAATTTTAAAACTAAATATTGTATAAAACACCCTTAAGTTTGGATAATAAACCTAATTTTAAGTGCTGAATTTAGCTTATGTTTAAAACAAAACCTATTAACAACCTTATCACTGCTTTGTTCTTGATTACTTAGTCCATATGGATACTCCCTATGTCACTTAAAATAGAATTCTTCTTTTGCTTTAAGTATTTCCTTTAAACTTTGGGATCTTTCCTTTATAATACTCAAAACGAATATTTTTCCTTTTGATACAGTAAATAAATGTTTAGCTTTGCCCTCTCTATTTTGTGGTGTCAATGCAAGATTCATTATGCATTTTGTTATTTTCCTACTAATTTTGGTATATCATCAATAAAATATGATAAAACAGTTGTTCTGAGCCTCACTTTTTCCTGTTGTATGTAGAAAAGACTGAACTTCATGAGATACTTCTGTGGGAGGCTCTAGATATCATGTGAGATACATCAGTCTTAAAGTAAAAGTTAAATCTGCAAGTTTTCCAAAGTCAAAAGTTATTAAGTGGCAGAGATGAGATTAAAACCTCCCTTTAGGTTTTAGAACATGAGCATTGGAATCAATAAAACTATCCTGACTCTTCAATATTGAATTACTTTCATTTTAGCAGCCTGAGGACTGAGAAGGATTATTTTCTAAAGGCACTATGAAGGCTTACCTACTCAACTCTTAGTCATTACAACTTTTTTTTTTTTTTAATCATTACAACTTTTCCATTTCAGGCCAAGAAGACCATGCAAAACAATTACTAGGTTAGGAATGTGTGTGTGTGTGTGTGTGTGTGTGTGTGTGTGTGTCCAGCAAATCCATCCATACTCACCTAACTTTCCACCTGCAATCTTTCTTTCCAGTTGTTATATCCAATTTCACTATCTGGTAGGGCAAATAGCCTAGTTTGAATGACTAATCTTTTGTGATTTGGGCCAAGTAACATAATCCTTGTAAGTCTGTTTCTCCAATTGCAAACTAGTAACCAAAGTACAGGATGGCTGTGAAGATTACAGACATAATGCATATGAAGTATCTGGAAGTATATGGCATATGACAGACACATAATTGTTTGTGACAGCTACTGTTCTGCTAGTATTAACAAGACTAATGAGAAATGTTATGTTAGACTACAAAGCATGATTATTCTTTTTTTACTTTTTTTTTTTAAACCACGCAATCATTTGACTTTCTCTATAAAACATTCTTTGAGATAATGAATTGGTCTGTCTGGACTATCAACTATGCTATATATGCTCTGGGTATATACTGAATTGCATAAAAATTTCTGACTTCTGCTTCCTTTAGATTAAAGGCACTTTTTAATCCCAGAAAGCGTATGGTGATATGTTACCGCTATTCCTAATCTAAATGTAATTATATCTGAGAAGTTACTACTTTAACATGTGCTTAAATTCTTAACACAACAATTCTCTCAATAAAGTCCCATTTTAACCCGTGTGAGCTCAGAAATCTACTTTAAATGGTTTAATAACTTTCCAAGATGCTGGTAGTCTTGCCTGATGGATTTGCAGTACTATTTGGCATGCCTGTTGGTGAACAAGGATTCTAGTTATGTTCTGTCTATATTATTCAGAATGTGAGTCCTAAATCCACATCAGGTATGGCTCCATTGACTATGACGATGTATGCCCCCTTGTGGTGATACACTTTAACTGCAAAAATGATAACATAAAATGAAAAGTAACTTAAAAATAGATGGAAAATATAGATCTTAATTTTGTTTTCCCAAGAAGTTTTATTGGGAAGGTATAACTAGCCACAAGGTAAAATAAATATTCAAATGGATTACCAGACATTTTAAGGTACTATACATTTTCATTTTAAAATACTTAATGTGTAAACGGAGCAGGGTAATCACATAGATAAGGCATTATTATTAGCAATTATGGCCAAAGATTGTGCTAGGAACTTTAAATTCTATAATAGAAGAATTTGTTCAGGGAAGACAGGAAAATTTTTCATACTGGCCATAGCACTCTTATTCATTAGCCAAATAAGGTCTATAGGACTAGGAAAATGTCTATGGGTTATTAGTATTTCTCTATAAGTAAGAACTGCCAGATATTCAGCCTGGGTTTAGAAGAGGCTGTGGTAGTAGGGATATTATAACTAATGTTAGATGGATCTTAGCTGAGAGTACCAGAGGAATGTCTAACTATGTTTCATTGACTATGCAAAGGCATTTGACTGTATGAATCACAATAAACTGTGGCTAACTCTGAGAAGAATGGGAATCCCAGAACACTTGATTGTGTTTATGCAAAACCTATAGTTGTACCAAGAGACGGTCATCAGAACAGAGCAAGGAAGCACTGCATGGTTTAAAATGGAGAAGGGTGTATACCAGGGATGTATGCTATCTCCATACCTTTTCAGCCTATATGTAGAATAGATCATCCTCTGTGAGGAGAAGTGTGGCACTAGGATTGGATCATCAACAACCTGCGTTATGCAGATGACACAACCTTGCTTGCTAAAACTGAGGAGGACCTGAAGCACTTGCTGCAGAAGGTCAAGGACTGCAGCTCAACATCAACAAAACAAAGAGTCCCACTATGGGGCCAACTGGCAGTATCATGATAAATGATGAAGAGATTGAGATTGTTAACAACCTTAGTTTACTTGGCTCCACAATCAACACTCTTGGTACCAGCAGTCAAGAAATTAAAATAAGAATTTCATTGGGAAAGTAACATTTCCAGAAACATTTCCAGGGTACTGAAGAGCAATGATGTCAGTTGGAGACTAAGGTGTGCCTGTTCCAGGCCATAGTCTTCACAATTACAAGCTATACATCAGAAAGCTGGACAATGACTAGGGATGACAGAAAGAGAGTATTGAAAATACCATGGACTGCTAAGAAAACAAATAGGTTCATCCTAGAGAGGGTGAAACCAGGCTGCTCCTTGGAGGCAAGGATTCTGAAGCTCTGTCTGACACACTTAGGGCATGCTGCAAGGAGGGACCAGTCCTTGGAGAGGGACATATACTTAGAAAGGTGTTGGGACAGCACAAGAGGGGAAGACCCTCGATGAGATGGATTAACGTAGTGACTGGAGTAATGGAGGTAGGTGTGTTGGAGACAGTAAGGTTGGCTCAGGATAGACCAGGGTTCAGAGATGTTGTATATAAGTGACTTGATGCCACATAACAACAACAACTATAAGTAAGAGCATGTTTTGGTGTGTTTACAAAAATTAAGATGGTATTTAGAAACCCAACTCTGATAAGGTTGGCACATAATTTAGAATGGATGCAAAAGAATTACGTTATATAATTTAAGCAACATTTAAAAAGAACTCTTGCCAATTTATCTGAGATCTGTAGTAGCTTGTTGTTGTTTGTTGTTATGTGCCGTCGAGTCACCTGCAACTCAGCGACCCTGTGTACAACAGCCCTAAACCCTGCTCTATCTCTTGCCAATCTTATTGTCTCTGACACACCCATCCACATTACCCCAGTGATAGAATCAATCCATCTCATCCATCGAGGGTCTTCCTCTCCTGTGCTGTCCCTCCACCCTCCCAAGCATGACGTCCCTCTCCAAAGACTGCTGCCAGTCCCCGGGTGTGTGATTCAAATCCATCACCTTGTCTGCAGGAAAAAATTGGCAATCTCCTCATGTGTGATTTTTCTGGCTCTGAAAACCCACTGGAGGGTCAGGTAGAGTCAGTTCTGATTTGATGGTCTGGGACAACCACAAGAGTCTTTAATATTTAACTGTAGCCTTGGAGAATCTTTATAGATTAACTAGATCCACACCCCCACCCCTTATTTAACATCTTATTGTGCGTATTGAGAAATAATGAGGACTTTCATGGGACAATGTTTAAAGTGCTCTGTTGGTAACTGAAAAAATCATCAGTTCAAACTCACAAGTTGCTCTGCAGAAAGTTGTGGAAGTCTGCTCCCTTAAAGATTTGCAGCTTCAGAAACTTTGTAGGACAGTTCTACTCTGTCATGTGGATTTGCTATGAGCTGGAACGGACTCTAGGGCAGTGGGTCTGAGTTAATGGTTTGGAAAACAGGTAAAGTTTAAATACTATTTACCCAGTTTGAGCCATACTACTGGCAAGCATTTGTGTTGCACTCAGTTGTAATTGTAAAGTCATGAAGGGAAAATGACAAGAATCTTTTGAAAGCCTGCAGAAGTTATTTGCCTTTAAAAAAATCCATCCTAGCAGTATATATTTATGGGAAGGAAAATTATCTTAATGCCAAATAACACCCAATTAATTCTCATAGAAAACGGCAGGAGTTATAGTGGTTAGAAAACACATCTATGCATTGTTATATGTCTATCTTTTTAAAACTTGTGTCAGAAGAAAACCTGGTAATTTGGACTCATAAATTGCTGCTGTCCTAGAACCGCTTGGTGATTCTACTTTGCATTAGCAGAGGCAGGCATTGTAATTACAAGGGAATTCAGAAATGTTTCAGATCCTTAAGAAGCTCAGGTGTAGGACCACAGAAAGTTGTGCTTATCTGATGGCTCAAATCCACCGGACGCAATGAGGGAGAAAGATGGGCTGTGTCCTCTCGTGTGACTTAAGTGCTGGAAACATAATGAACTGTCAGAGCTATGAGTTGAACCCAACTTGAGAGCAATGAGAGAGAGAAAGCAGTCACTAAGCTTTTTTCTCCCTATTACCATGAACTTATAAATTATTCCTATAGCCTAATTTCTGTAGTTTTAAGTTGATATTTTTAATAACTTTTCTTTTAAGGGCTGAATATTTTGCAAAGCACGGAACTATGGGAGATAGAGAATGAATGAAAAAGGTGCACCTTAAAGAGTTTTTAATCCCCCCGCGTTCTTTCCGTGATGCACTGCCATATATCTCTGCAGTGGAACGTATATTTTCACATCATCTATGCCAGTTAGATTCCCAAAAGTCTAGAAGAAATGGTGCAAAAATGAGTCAAAGATGCTGCCTTGTACTTTTTTACGTATGAATTATTCGAAATAGATTTGTGATGGCTTAATTTACCATAACTAACAGACTTTGTTTTCCGTTTTGCAGAAGTCCACAGAAGGAAGATAGGGTACCCATGGCAGATGAGTACTATGAATACAAGCACATTAAAGCCAAACTGAGACTACTTGAAGTCCTTATCAGCAAGCAAGATGTGGCCAAAACAATATGAGGTCAGGAAATGTTCATGATGACTTTCACTCAAGAAAAAAATTGTAAACGTCATGTTTGCTTTCCCCTGCCATTCTTGCTAAGTAGTCTGAAATACTGAAAATTGAAGCACTTTAGTGGTGGTATTAGTTATTCCTAAGAAAAGATAGCAACTGTAATTATAGGGATTTAAATAGGGAGAAGAATGCAAGTGACAGTTTAATTGGTGTTGGGGGTGAGGAATGGGGGGGGGGGGAAGACTCCAACCTGCTCAATGCCAAGGAAAAAACTCAGTAAATGTTAGTTTTAAAATATAACATAGAGCATCTACTTGTTTAATGGGCTGTTTGTTAGGAAAAAGTCTATTTAGTGTTTAAAGATTGCTTATATTGATAAGTGAAAAAATATAGTCAGTGGGAAAGAAATCTGGCTACTGTTCATTTGCAAAGGGATGCAGATAGTTAAGAGAGTAACTTATTTGATGCTTCTAATAGATTTTTATAAATCTCTGACATTGTTCTTTAAGTCTATGAGGCTTTCAGTAACCCTAAAATATACTAGAATGTGTCACCGCTAGTTTTTTATTTCTCTATAAAAAAATAGCACATTATTTTATCTGTTATTCGAAATTTTACATTTCTGACTACCAAAGTTCATTCAGATAGCATGTACTTTGTGAATTACTATCTTTGTCTATAATTGACAGATGTTTATATTAAGAGACTGCATTAAAATTTGGAAATAGGTTATTTTGGATAGCTATGTGTCTGTAACATATTACCTAATGTGATCACAGTTAAGATTGCTTAATCTTTTTGTTTACTATATCTGAGATCCTAGAACTATTTTTCCATTGGGAACATGCATTTTTTCTTAATGTTCCAAGATCTATAGTTTGTTAAAAAAAAGCCTTCTCACAAGCTGTAATTATTCTTGTTTCTGAACACAAAAGTTTGAAAATGAGCTATCTTAGAAAATAAGGCAGAGTATTTTATTTGCGTCATCTTCTTTAGCATATAATGTTTTCTGTCAGTTTGTATGAAAGCACCTGTTTATTATTTTTCTTTTTTGTGAAAACAAGTAAAAAGATCCACATTTTCTGTCATGTAGCAATCATGTTTTTGTATCTCTGTTTTCTGGTATGTTTAAGCATGATGTTGAAGAAATTAACGTTTTCATATAGTTTGAGTGGGAAGAATACTATTTCAGGGGCTTATTGTTTTCTCTGTATTTACCTGACATTTTGTAACTTTTATGAATCAGAATAATGTCCTTCATAAATGTGTTTAATCAAAATCACCTACTTGTAACAGGACAGAATACACAACTATTTGAGGTTTACAAACTAAATCTTTGATAAGGGATATGGTTTCGTGACATGTATACAATTGCTATTAAAATGTAACACTCTATATATTCTATGACTGTAAATATTTTATACAACAATACAAATAAAATATTTTTCTATTATATTTATTATGTTGAAACACAGTAGTTGTTTCCTGTTAGCTAATATAAATAACATAAATAACACTGTCAAACAACAAGTTGGAAGTGCTGACAATTCTAGGTCTCAAGGTTTAACTCATGCTGCAATTACACCCATTCATGCGGTTTGGAGTTATCCCAGTATTTGTTCAGTAGATTAAAATGAATGCATATTTAAACACCATTTATAAGCCATTATTTGATATTTTGCTAAAGCGGTCTATATAGAATTGTTTTGTTATGTTTGGCATAAAAGAAAAAAAATAAAAACTTTGCAGCATCTAGGCAATAAAGTGTCAGAAGGAGAACGTAGGATACTTCATCATCAAAAGTGGAAGCGTAGGGAATAGGAAACACTACGACGATTCTGGATGAAATTTGAAATATGGCAGTCTGATTTTGGTGACAGCGGCATGTGCATGCTTCAGTGGAAAACATCTGGTCATGGAAATGGGCAACAGAGGGTCAATGCTCTCAAGGGAAGGGAAGGGGCTTAGTAAGAAAGTGGGCATTAACGTCCAACACTGATATTACAAGTTTTGCAGCTGGGATCTTTCTTTGCATTCGCAGTAGACAAACTCATGAGCTGATGACCAGTGATTTCTGCCACGGTGCCCAGAGAAAGATCCACAGGGTCAGTGTAAATGACTTCTAAAATGACATCCTGGGCGTGATGGTAAACCAGCACCCCGTCTTCTTCTGTGCAGGTCAAAAACTTATTATCCTTGGAACTGAGCTGAGGAAGGCGCTGCTTACAGAATTCATCTCCTGGTGACCCCTCAGGGGCAATGACAAGGATCACATAATGATAAGCGGTGTACATACAGTAGAAGTCTCCAAAGTATAAGTTAGTATTGGGGTTAAAAAGTTTCTCTGCTGCAATTTCAAACCTGTATCTTCCATAAGGTGAATCCTGGGGTGGTTTTCCAGTATTGAATTCAGTGCTGCAGCTGAAGAAGATGCCTTCTAATTTTCCACTGATGGGAGAGCCATGGCTACCACTGTTATCCTTGACAGAGGGCTGCATAGCATTCCCATGATGCTCTCTGCAAGACAAAAGAAATAGTCATTGCTTGATATAATAATGATAGTTATTAATGTGTATATAAGCACAGTTAATAGGTCTAAAGGGCAAATGTCCAGGGTTAAAAGCTTGCATGCTCATCCTACTATGAATCAAGAATGCCTTTTTTGACCCAAAGATATACTGTTACACATATTAGCGACCTTCACCATCATAAATATCCTGGCTAGAAAAATTAAACTGGAATTAGACATGTTTTATAACTCAAATCACATTGAAAAATCACTTCATAAAGAGAAAATGGAATTGGTTTAATATGTTCAATATTTCTTTGATGCACATCAGAATTTAATTATAAAATGAGTGCTTTCATATACATTAGCACAAACCGGCTGATTATCCAGGAAGAAATTACTAATCCGGTTCTTTCCTACTCTCCTTGCTTTCTTTTGCAGCCTGGAACTCTTATTATTTAGTTCTTCAGTGCCCTTGGGTTTCAGGTTTGGAATGCTGCAATGTCTTCCATTCTGTGTAGCTGCTACATAGTATAAGTTTTTCAACATATAACTACATTTTGGAAACTGTATTCTTTGTTTGGGCCTGCTGGCATCTTCAATCAATCATTGTCACTCTGTGACAGTAATGTCTCTTTTTACAACAATCCTAAGAGCATCATAACTATTTGTTCTTTAAATGAAAGACTTTAAGTAACTTGGCCAAGGTCTTTCAGCTGGTAAATGGCAAAACAGAGATTAAACTTCAAATTTGTCATCAGAGTTCATGCTTAAAGGGAGGTACCAACAAAAGAAATGCAGGATAATAGAAGGAAACCCTTGAGCATGCCTCTCTCCATGTGTCCAAGGCTCAGCAGGACCAAATTCTCCTATAACTAACATTTCTACTCCGCCTGCTGAATGGCCCCTACTTCCCTTCCCCATTCTAAGAATGGTAAAACCTTTCATCTCTTAATAGTTCCTGGTGAGTTTAGCATTACTTATTAGTTTCCCTTTTTGACTGCTGGTTCCAAACAAGATGAAGTTGTTGAAATTAAAAGATCTATTACGTAGGAAGTCTGCTGTCAGTGACTACGCGAACGTACTGCAGAGCAAAGATATCATTTTGAAGATTAAGGTGCACCTGAGTTGGGCCATGGTCTTTTCAATCACTTGTTATACCTCTGAGAGTTGGACAATGAATAAGGATGACAGAAGATGAACCACTGCCTTTAAGCATTGATGTTGGAGAAGAGTACTAAATATCCATGTTCTGCCAAAAAAAAAAAAAAAAAAGACAGATATGTCTTGGATAAAGTGCAGCTGGAGTGCTCCTTAGAGGCAAAGACGGCATAACTTTGCATCCCATACTTTGGACATGTTGTTAGAGGAGGCTATTCCTTGGAGAGGGACATCAAGCTTGGAATGATGGAAGGTGAGCAAAAGAGAGGAAGATCTTCAATGTATGGGTTGACACAGTGACTGGGGCAGTGGGTTCAAATGTGTCAGAAATAATGAAAATGTCACAGGATAGGACAGGGTTCAGACCTGTTGTTCAAAGGATCTCTATGAGTACTTGACTCAGCAGCACCCAACAGTATTAGTCCCCTTAAGCTTGCCTACACATCTATTGGCAGTACAACTATTATAGTCTCTCCAGACTTCTCCTTAAGAGTCCTCTTTTTTCTTAATCCTTCACTACGACCAGCATGATTCAAGAAGAGTACAAACTAATACTCAAAGGAAGGGGTCTCACACTTAACAAGCTTCATAGAGTTTGTAGGTCATTGAGATGCAACAAGGATCGATCTTTAGCTTCAAAACAGCAAACTGCAATGCTGAGAATCATCTGTTGTTGTTGCAGAGTAACAGAGTCAGAACTGACCCATAGCTGGTCCTCCAGCAGGTTACAGGAGGAGATTCCCCATTTTTGCCCTGTAGAGTGCCTGGTGGATTCAAACCACATGTCCCTGGGATTGCAGCACAGATGCTTATTCAAATTGTAGATCCAAGAAAAGACCAAGATTGTCACAGACCAGATAATAACAGGAAAAACAAACAAATGAATGAATGAATGGAGTGTGATATCCTGGATATTTTTACGGTTGTACCTTCTTTCTTCCAGATGTTCTGAGTTTCCTTCAGATAATAATTTCTGCTTAGCAGGTGACACATTCTCTGTTTTCTTTTCACTGAGACTGTCTCAATTCCTCCTTAATTCTTGGAAGGATATTTTCTTTTTTAAAATTTTTTTCACTTGTTTATTTACAAAATTCTAATACAAACTCTTTCAATTTCCCTTAACCCCCACCCATCAAACTGTACAATCCAGTGATTAATCCCCTCTTCCCCCCCTGTACATCCACGTCCCTCTGTTTTCAACCTCTTCTACTTCTCCTGGATCCGTATACTCATTCTACAATAATAGTCTTATAAAATATTTATCCAGTTGGAAGGATGAATTCTGGGTTGGCAAGGTTTTCAGCACTTGAGACATACTGTGCCATCTTCTTCTGGTTTCCACAGCTTCTGAGGAGAAACTCCTTGCCATTTGAGTTGTTTATCCCATTTCAGAAAAGATCCTATTTCTCTACTACCATTTTTAAGATGCTGTTTTTAGTGTTTAAGAGTTTATGATATGTCTCTTATTAATTATTTTAGGCTTATTCTGGTTTGAGCTTCTTGAATCTGTAGATTTATGTCATTTGGGAAATTTTCAGAAATTATTTCTCTCCTTTTCAGCCCCATCCACTTTCTCCTTTTCTTTTATGACTCGGATGATATGTTAGATTTTTCTTGTTGTTGTTAGTTACACATGTTCATGTGGCTCTTCTAATCTTAGTCAAGTTTTTCTCTGCTGTTCATACTTGGTTATTTGTACCTTAAAGTTAACAGAAGTTTGGTGGTGCAACGATTGAAGTCCTTACCTGCTAACATAAATGCTGTTTGAACCCACCAACAGTTCTACATGGTAAAGATGTAGTACTCAGCTTCTGTAAAGATTACAGCCTCCTCTATAAGATCACTATGAGCTGGACTCCACTTGACTGCAATGGGTTAAAGTTCCCTCACGCTTTTTGTCCCTCTCATTCTAGTGTTGGTGCCATGCATTACATTGGTCATTTTTAAATTGTATTTTCAGTTCCTAAGCTCATTTGTCCCTTCTGTTTCCTATGGCTTTGTTGGTACTCTTTTCATTTGTTTTGTGTATCTGTAATTTTCTGCTGTTGTTAGTTTTCACAGCAATGGGCCTAATGTATGGTTACTGCTCCCTACATGACAAGTTTATTACCGCTGCCTTTAACTGAAAGCTCAGCATCCACAAGCCTCCTCTGACAACATTACAGTGGAGAGGAGTGTGGATTAGAATTCATTACATAGAAAGAAAATTGACGTTAATATGACTAAGAGTTGCACTGACAACCCCAAGGCTCAAAGGTTTGAATCCATCAGTTGCTCCACGGAAGAAGATGGACGGTCTCCTCATGTGCAATTTACAGTCTCTGAAAACACACTAGAGGGTCAGCTATGAGTCACCCAACTCAACGGTGCACAACAACATTCTTTAATAAAAATTTTTAAAAAATCATTGAAAACCCAAAACATGTATTCATAACTTTCATAATTATATATATATATATACACACACACACATAATTAAGATATCATTTATTAATTTTACAACAAACATCTGTAAGCCCTAACAAAGATAAATGTCCTCCATATTAAATGTTTTTCGTGCTATAGGCTTAAAGATGTTCACATACATGCAGAATGATTTTCTTTTTTCAGTTTTCCAATGCTCTGACTTAGCCTTTCTTAGCCTTTTTACTTTTCAAAAGGATTTCTGAAATTAGAAAAAGCATTTTTTAAACTACATTCAAGGGGCACTCTGGTGGCTTAGTCCGTACAGTTGCCATGCTAAGTCAGAGGCTTTGCATGTCTCTGTGGCAGTTTAAATGCCCTAGAAAGATGGGCTGTCTCCCCCCATGAAGTTCAAAGCCCCTGAAAACCTCCTGGAGGGTCAACCATGAGTCAGTTCTGACTTTGACGGCAGTGAATTTGAGTTTTTAAAACTATAAATCAAGCCCACTGCTTCTGAGTCAAGTCTAAGACATGGGGACCACCCTTAGGTTCTGAGGCCGTAGATCTTTCTTTTGCAGAGTAGCTTGTGGATTTGAACTGTCCACCTTTCAGTTTGCAGTCCAATACTTTACACACCACACCACCAGGATTCCTTAAATTATTTAAGGACCTGAAAACAAAGGTCAGCTGCCACCCAAAGGATAGGGAAAAGCATAGAGAAATACTGCCCTCCAGTGGCCATCAAAAAGAGATATTAGCAATATTCCCAATGTCTAAGCCTAGTAACAAACATGTAATGATTTACCCTGTTGATGTATTTCTTATTAATAAGAAAATAGTAATTGTGATTTTTGTTTGTTTGTTTTCTGTGTTACAAATACAAGCTAGTACAATCCTTCCTTGGTATACAGAACAATTTAAATCGATTTGTGGAACTTGATTTCTGAGTTAGGTGAATGACATCTGCAAGGAATTACATAAACTTTAAATATTTTACCAGCTGATATAATGAATTAAATTCTCTATTTACAACATAGTTTTACCAAAAAGGCAGCGATACTTCTTGCCATATAAAATACATGGCAATGCAATTTTTTTTTCATTTGAAGATTTTGTTAGGTGACATCAAGTTAGTATTTACAGAGACTCTACAAACAACAGATCTGAACTTTGTCCTAGCCAGTGCCATTCTCATCAACTCTGACGCACTTGCACCCACTGATACAGTCACTGTGTCTGTCCCTCTTGTTGAAGTCTTCCTCTCTTTCACAAGCCTCTACCTTTCCGAGTATGACATCCCATCCCCTTACAAAGACTAGCTTCTCCTAGTAAGTTGTTGTTGTTATGTGCTGTTGAGTCGCTTGCAACTCATAGCAATCCTATGTACAAAAGCCCTTAAACTCTGCTCTGTCTTGTGCCAGTCGCACCATCTCTGGCACACCTATCCGATTACCCCAGTCACTGAATCAATCCACCTCATAGAGGGCCTTCCCCTCCTACGCTGTCCCTCCACCCTACCAAGCATGATGTCCTTCTCCAAGGACCTGT